GGACTTCAGCCTTCAATATGGATTGAAGCTCAACATCAGGAAAACAAAGATTCTCACCACTGGGCCAATTGGCTGCATCAGTGTGGATGGTGAAGAGATTGAGATAGTTAACAGTTTTAGTTTACTTGGTTCCACAGTCAACAGTCTTGGTAACAGCAGCCAGGAAATCAAGAGATAAATTGGATTGGCAAAGTAAGCTGTTAGGGACCTCTCAAAAGTATTGAAGGGTAACGACGTCAGGCTGGAGACTAAGGTGTGCCTCATCCGGGCTATAGCCTTCACAATTACGTTTTATGCATCAGAGAGTTGGACAGTGACTAGGGATGATAGAAAGATAATTGATACCTTTGAGCTGTGGTGTTGGAGAAGAGTGTTGAATATACTATGGACTGCTAGGAGAACAAACAGGTTTGTCCTTGAGAAGGTGAAGCCGGAATGCTCCTTGGAGTCAAGGATTCTGAAGCTTCCTCTGACATACTTTGGGCATGTTGCAAGGAGGGATTGGTCTTTGGAGAGGGACATCATGTTTGGGAGAGTGGAGGGACGGCGCAGGAGAGGAAGACCCTCGATGAGATGGATCAATTCTGTGATTGGGGTGGTGGAAATGAGTGTGTTGGAGACGGCGAAGTTGGCACAGAATAGAAATGGCATTTAGGGCTCTTATAGATAGGGTCACTATGAGTCGCAAGCGACTCGATGGCACATAACAAGAACAAGAACAACAACAACATAGTAAACCTGATAATATTTTGATTAATCGTGGTGGACATATTAAATTGACTGATTTCGGCCTCTGCACTGGCTTCAAATGGATGCTCGTTCTAAATACTATCAAGTGGTGACCATCACAAGATAGCATGAATTTCTGTAATGAATGGGGCGATGCCTCCAACTGTCAATATGCAGACAGATTGAAGCCACTACAGCAGAGATCTGCATTCCAGCACCAGCGATGCCTGGCACATTTTTTGGTTGGGACACCCAATTATATTGCACCCGAGGTGTTGCTACAAACAGGATATACACAGTTATGTGATTGGTGGAGTGTTGGTGTCATTCTTTTTCAAATGTTGATGGGACAACCTCCTTTCTTGGCACAGACACCATTAGAAACTCAAATGAAGGTTATCAACTGAAAAACATCTCTTCACATTCCACCACAAGCTAAACTGAGTACCGAAGCCTCTGACCTTATTATCAAACTTTGTCGAGGAACACATGCCCGCTTAGACAAGAATGGTGTTGACAAGATAGAAGCACATTCCTTTCTGAAAACTATTGATTTCTCTAGTGACCTGAGACAGCAGTCTGTTTCATACATTCCTAAAATCACACACCCAACAAATACATCAAACTTTGATCCAATTGATCCTCATAAGTTATGGAGTGATGATAATGAGGAAGAAAATGTCAATGGCACTTTGAATAGATGGTATAAAAATGGAAAGCACCCTGAGTATGCTTTCTATGAGTTCACCTTCAGGAGGTTTTTTTTATGACAATGGGTAACCATATAATTATCCAAAGCCTATTGAACACAAATACATGAATTCATAAGGTTCAGAGAAGCAATCAGATGAAGGTGATCCACATGCAGGTTCAGAGATAACAAGTCACGATCTAGAGCAGGTTTAGAGATCCAAGATAGCAGCGGAGGCAGAGACAGCGTGGTGAGCTGCGGGAGCAGCTAACCACTTAAAGTAGGACCATTATGGCCTTCCACAGACTTTGGCTTATTGATAATTGAACACTTAAACAGTTGATGACTGGTCCTCAGTGAAGATTGAGGCTCAACAACAGGAATTCAAGGATTCCCAAGGAGAAATGGGTGAGTCTCGTG